CACATTTCATTGATCAAATAAAAAACTATGTTAATAAAAAAACTAAACCAAGTCTCAGTGTCCAGTACAACAACAGGTAATCATAAAACTGTAGTCTTGGCAAAGGTTATTCATCTTGAGTGGACATTTCAAATCCTCAGAACATAATACTGGAACGTTATCTAAACGTATTTATATAATAAAATATAAATTAATCGTTAATAGTAATTAACTCAAATGATAATTATTCAGTCGAGTATGAATAATATATCATATTATAATATATATCCATAATTAAGCATTTAGTAATATATGAATTGCTCATACGAACTATAAACCAAAAATTAACATTATTTAATTAATGTTTTTAATATTAGAGATACCAATCACAACTTATTAACATGTTTTGCAGTCAGTCGTGTACTACATTAGAGCAACCTATCAGATTTGAGAGCAACTGGTTTCAAAACAATATTACCTCTAGATGGCGCTAGATATGANTTAATTACTTAATTACAACTCATACAATATCTTAACAAATATAAAACATAATATAATTTTGTATAATTAAATTTTTCTCAATTTATAAACCACTAAGTACTATTTCATCTCAACATAAAAAGTTTTGCTCCATTAATAGGGAAAGAGTACAGTTAGTATTGAGTAAGTTTTAACGAACAGTTGAATAAATAAATTACTTTTTAATCCGTTTGTTTTTTACTCAAAATAACAAAATAATGACAAAGCTTGTTAAATTTTCAACGCAATATTATTATACTTAATTGTAATGAATAAAATAAAGATAGCCATTTAAAAATCCTTTTTTTTTTAAATTAACATTTTGTAATAAATCACATAATTATAAACTTTCGTCATAAAGTTTATTATTATCTTTATAATTATTTTATTATAATTTAATTTATATATTCATAATTTAAAAGAAAATATTGTAAAATTTGCACAAATAATAGTTTTAACAAAAAAAATATTATAATTAAGAATAGAGCAACAGCGACGAAGTATTTTTTAATATAATATTGTATTTCTAAAGATTATTCATTAATAAAACCCAAAGGCTTATAAAATTATATATATTTTAGCAGCCATATCCCTGTGTATGATTGAAAATACTTTAAAAACATATTTATTAATACATACACTTATAAAGGGTATTCAATAAGCTTGGAAACAGATATTTTTTAGATCTGCTATTATTTTTAAAATATATTTTTTTTAGAGTTTTGTTGTATAATTAAATAAATTTTTTATGATTGAAATTAAAGTTTAACCCTAATGTAAAAGGGTAGAAATTTNATAATTAAATAAATTTTTTATGATTGAAATTAAAGTTTAACCCTAATGTAAAAGGGTAGAAATTTATAGTAACTAAAATAATTTATATGAAAACCACTTTTTTAAAAATCTGTTAGGGAAATAATATTTTAAACAAAATTACTTTTAAAATTGGACAAGCTATTATTGAGATTTTGCTGATTACAAGCATAAAATTTAAGCTTTATGCCACAGGTAAAATGTATCAATGTTTGATTCTATAGACACAATAATCAATGATTATGGTTGCTTGGTTTATCTTAATGATCGTACTTGAGCTTAAAACCATTAATATTGTTGAATTAATATTGTGTCATATCAACGAAACTATTAAATACCAATAAAATTACGATTTACGTTTAAATTTTCTTCACATTTACAAGATAAAATTGATTATAGTTCAAAACCAAGAGCGTTTTTAAATTGAATGATGTATTGAATATCACCCTAATTAACTTTGTCAAATTATTTACAATTTTTGAAAGAGTTCAGGAGAGCGAATATGAAGTATTAAACAACTCATTGTTTTTTTATTTTTTTAATATTGCTATGACATAATTTGCGATAAAACGTGTTGTTGTTTTGCAGTAGTAAAGAAAAATACATAATCTACCAGAATATGTGATAAACAAAAAATGAAAACTATGTAGTTCCGTCATTTTTTTACTTTTTTATTATTACAACATAAATATAATAAAACTAGTGCAAAAAGAGCACAATATTAGTTGAATTATTTAATATTAATATTAGTTATACCTACAAATATTAATGATTTCTAGGGTGTTTTTTAGTTGGGATAACTATTATAACGGTTATTTCAATCATATAATTTTTTTCCTAGTATTTATTGTACATCATTAATGTATTACACTAAGAAAAATCCTACAAGTATAATTGATTCAAAAATGTACATATGTTTAAAGGTTGTTTTTTATAACCAATAATAATCAGATCTAAATAAGACTTGAAAAATTAAGTTTAAAAATTTAAATAATACCCTTTATAATTATTTAATAAAGACATAATTTATAGTTCTATGTTATTTAGATATATAATTGATATGTTCTAAGAATGTCTATGTTTTTGCTAGTGTTGTTGGTTAAAAATGTATAAATAGAAATTTAATAAAATGAACGTATAAAATTATTTTTATGATAATTTAAAAAATGGTTTATTGATAATAATATTTGACTTCAGTCAAATTTAAGTCTAGACTTATGAGCTTCTAAAAAGTTTAAAATCATCTGTATTTTCCTTAAAAATCCATGAAACTATGAATTAAATTATGTTGTTAAAATTAATAAAACATCCAAAAAATAATTTATTTTTGAATTTATGCTTTATAGATTTATTATATATAAGGTATTTCTTTTAACACTAGCTATTCAATGGCTCTTAAAATAATATTTTTTTATGTGAATTTTTTTTGGCTTTTGTTATTTTCATTTGTTTCTAAATTTATCTGTGTTAAAGTATTTTTCATGTTTATACATTATGTCTTATAAGGGTATCAACTTTATTATTTATTAAACGGCAACATATGTAATAAACTAGATAATAAAATAGATAATTATGTAATTTAAAAAACAATCACCGATGACAACTTTTGGAATAGTATTTCAGATGTTAATAACAATTAAAAGTTATAACGGTTAGTGAGTAATGGGTAAAACTATAGTTGTCACAATTCATACTCTTCATCCTGCCCAGGCATAAAAATGTTAATAATATTTAAATATTGGTCCAAAAGTTGTTATCGACCAGTAATTTTCTTAATTAGATCATTTTCTATTTTATAAGTTAGTTGAATATGTATGTTTCTATTTAAAAAAATTAAGTTGACAACCTTATAAGACATAATGAATGAACATAAAAAATACTTTATAACAGATAAATGTAGAAATAAATGAAACAAAAAAAAATGTGAAAAATCATTATTTTAAGAAAAATTGAGTGGCTAGTGTTAAAAGAATAATCCTGTAAAGTGATTCACTTAACCATAAACCACTTAATTAACCAAAAAATAAAAATAATATTATTAATTTTTTTTTAATTCAATGTTTTTCTCAATTTTTCAATCATGAAATTTTTTTTATGTTCATTCCTTATACCTATTATAGGCATTAACTATAATTTCTTAAATGGTAACCTGTAATTAACTATAAATTTTAATAGATAATTATCTAATTAAATATGTAAATGGCTAGTCAATAACAACTTTTAGACCAGTAATTCAAAAATTATTAAAAATTTAAAGTAAAGTCTGAAGTTGAAGAGTGGGTGTTGCTATTTTCATAACTAAACATTTCTCGGCCGTACTCTTCCTCTCGCCAAGGATAAATATATCAATAATTTCTAAAATGCTGGTCCAGAAGCTGTTTTCGACTAGTCATTTACTTAATTAGATAATTGTATAATATATAAGCTAGTTAATTAGGGGTATTGTCATTTAAAAAATAATTGTTGACACCCTTATAAGGTATAAGGGATTACATAAAAAACTTTATGATTGTTAAATTGACAAATATTGAACTTAAAGTAACCAATAAGAACAATTTTAATATTATTTTTATTTTTCGAGTAATCAAAGTGGTTCAAGATAAGTAAAACATCTTTTATTATACTGTATACAAAAAATTTCCTTGAGATTGGATTTCACTGTCAAAATGATGATTACTTAATACCTCTACTTTTATTGGATTATTTACCTTTGTTTTGAAAGAATATATAATCTCAATTTCTTTCTTACTCATGCTAATAAAATAAACGTAATGCATAAAAAATAAAAAAATTGATTGATGAGCAATTTAAAAAGGAGATTAAAAAGCAACAGAATTGAGCACCTCGGATGGCATAATTCCCAAGTTCGGCCCTGAATAAAAAATGTGATCTAAATAAAGATTTTACTTTATTTTGTAAGTAGTTGAGTGAGTTGGGATAAACAAAATCAAGCATATTTTTTTAGTAAAAACATACATGTTTAACTAAGCTAGCTTAGTTAAATATGTATGTTGTAAATAAATGTATGTATGTTTAACTAGTTTAAAAAATAAAAATTGATCAAATTTAAGTTATTGACATTTTTTACCTAGACAAATAATATTTAATGATATATGTTTGAACGTCATTTACATTTATTAAAAATTAAATTTAGAGATGATCAAAAAAGAAAATAGTAAATTTTAATTTCTCAAATAAAAATTTCAAAGTAAAATTAATAATATTTTTAATATAGTTTTAATTTTACTTAATTAATTAGCCACAAGTGATCAATTTTTATTATAAAAATTTCAAAGTTTTCCGAAATTTCTCATAAATTTTTTAAGTAAATTTCTAGAAATTTTACAACACTAATTCTTGCTACTTTACTTAATTCACAATAATTTATTAAAAGATTAAAATAAACTTTAAATTGGAGAATTAATTGATTTTTAGCTAAAATTTACGATGATAAACATTGGTCTTCATTTATCAATGCATCAAGTCAATTTAAGATGAAACATGTTATATTCAAAATTATAATAATTATTTTGTGTATATTTATGAAAACATTACTTTTTTTCGTCAAAGTAATCTATTATTTTTCATAAATATGAAAACAAATTTTTAAATTTAAATGTTTCATTATAATATGAATTATATTTGTTTTAAATGATGATATGTTATTGGAAATTAAATTTGAAATTTACCTCTTACTGCATTTGGACATCCACAACAGTGCCCATGAATAATTGCCGAATCATCTTGACACCTCCATTTAGGACATGTCTTGCGTCTGCAATACCAAGCTGTAACACAGAATGGATTTTGTTAATCATTAAATGATCTAAACTTAGGAATATCCTAAGTTTAGAACATTTAATACCATTATATATACTATTTAAAAATGATAGTTGACGACCAGAGCTTGGCTGTACTTTTGAGATAATATCATATGTAGATTGGCAATAGGAACAACCAAAACAGAAAGCCACAAAAATAAATATTATTTTTGAATTCATGACGAGTAGTTTACAGTAAGGCGAATGAAGCAATTCTAAATTACTGCTGCTTTTTGTATAAGTATAAAAATCGTTTTTTCTTTTCTTTTTTTGTCTAATTATGGTCAGTAATAATTTACTAAATTAAAATTCTTAACGACACTTTAATGGTGTTTTGAGTAATTGAACTAATAATTATCAACTAATAGGTTCGTTGTACGTTCATCACTAAAAAATAGACGCAAAATTGGACTGTGACGTCAGATTTTTTGTAATTAAGGATTTTAAACATGTAAACATTGTAGTCTTAAGAATACTATAGAGTTAGGTGTAAAAATGCAAAATTGACAATAATATTTTAAACAATTATCAATACTTAAATTTTGTAAGAGTATTATAAAAAGAAAAATTAATTTAGAACATAAATGAATAAATTAAATATATTATCATATTTGAATTATTATGACCAACATAAAGAAGTATTGCATAGAAATAAATGAAATATCAGTTGTTTACATAAACCTTTAAGTACAACATTAAAAAATACATTTTATAGTTCAACATATTTTTTTAAAAGTCTAGCCTAATAAAATTAAGGCGACAACGTTGTTGCTGAGACATGTTGGTTAATATGCTACGATCAAGTCTAGATAAAATTAGGTTTAAAAAACCGATCTAACAAGGTGAGGTTCCCATATAAACTAAATGAGTAACAAATAATTTAACAAAGACTCAGTGACATTCGTAATCATGATCAAATTTCAAATACTGTTTCACATTAGTCAATATCATAACTCAAATTCACATTCAGTTACGCATGTAAAACTAACGTGTTCATATGACAATCTGTGGAAATAAAATCCAATAATAATGTATTTATGCGAAGATGTCTAAACATAATAAATTTAGAACTCTTAAAGTGACTAATGAAGAAGATAAAACATTACAATTAATATAACTATCACAAAATATAACTATACAACATACATAATAATATCCTACAAAATAAATCAAATTGTAAACATCTTATAATTATTAAACCAAGTTCAATAATATCATTTGTAAAACTACAGCAAGAATCATATTAATTTAGGAATCCTAAGTAACCCAAATTAGAATTAATTAATCAAAATTTTTAAATCTAATTATGTTATCAAGGTCCTTTGTAGAAGAAAAAAAAATCTTATAGTGTATTTTTTTTTAATTAGTACTGTTAATAAGATAGACCAAGTGTATTATGAACTCTTTTGAACATCTATTTTTCTAAAATTATCAAGTAGAACTTAAAATATATACAATGTATTTGATGTAATAACACATCCAAAATATACTCGTTCAATAATATTACATATCATAAAAATGAACAAGAATGCTCCTTTGAGGTTTTGTGGTTAAAAATGAAGTTTTAGAAGTTAGATTTGATTTATGAGAAAATGACTGACACCTGTTGCACCTCGTCGGTCTCGTGTGTATAATCATTAATTGTGGGTAATCACAGTATCTTAAGTCTAGAGAATATTATAATTCAATCGAAAGAATCAATATGTCTTGAGGTCAATGCGGTTTTCTGTTTGGTCATCGTCACTCTATTGAAACATTGGGTGTTGTGTACCGATTATATAAAATATAAAGCTGTAGAGAAGAATTTTTATCTATATGTGCGTTACAGTTATTACAATAATTATTATTGTAATAACTGTAATAAAATTGGAATAGTATTATACTATTCATACAGAACCGCTCTTCTGAATGAACAGCTTATTTCATTCATAACTACATGATATTCATTTGGTCACCTATCCACAGATCCTCAAAGTTACTTTTCTCTTTCTATTGGAAAAAATCATTGCATTCTTATTTGCAAGAGAGAGAGAGATACAAAATTTACTCTTTTCACTTCTGTGGTTATCACCAATAAAATGACAAATGCAACCACTAACCTTCACGCATGATACTAATTTTAGTAAGGTGGTAATAAATAATAGATCAACCACTATAGGTACTATGTTATTACTTATTATATTAATAAAATGTGATTGATATTTTTTTTATATTCGTGTCTATTATTTTTTTACGATAACAAATGATATAAAAAAAACTACAATATTAAATAAAAAATCATTGTTAAAATGTTTTATTATATCATTATAATTAAACTTTTTAATATATCAATAACATAGCTACAAAATTAATTTCTATTAAGTTTTAATAAGTCATATAACTAACTAAACGTGTACTATTAAATATTAAAAGAACATAAATTACATTAATTTAATCAAAATTAAATGCGGTGCAGTTTCTGGACTTTAACAATTTTTTTAATTCATATTTATTATACTGCGGAAACTAAGTTAGAGGGTACATCGATTTATCTGCATCTTGAAAATAAGGTCATAAGGAATTATTCTAGGGGGGAATAACGATTGATGTTTTTTCCAAACCATTTTAAATTAAATAAAGGGTTATGTTAATCACGTAGTTATTTTTGACGAAGAATATTTATCACTTAATTTCCTTTAGTATGAATGCTGTAGTAAAAGTTTTGATTTTATTTAATTATTAAATTCATTCTTATGCGTCCATTATTATTTTTTCTACAAAATTAAGCCAAATAATTAAAGAAAAATAATGTGTAATTATATATACAAAAAGATTAATTAATGATCATGATTTTCTTAGAAACTATTGAGAATTTAAAATTTTTTTAAAGTGAAAAAATAGTTGGTTATAATGACTTAAAGTTCAATAATTTATTTTGTTATAAAATAAACAGAAACGGAAAACATTTGTTATAAAATTAAAATAAAATATTCAGAGTATCCCATTAGGTTTAACATCATTAATAACTTTTGATTCTATAAAAAATTTCGTGGCACTTAAAAAAAATTTTTAATTTTTATTTTGAGAAATTATTCATAAAAATTGTTGATATATTGATAAAAATGTTAGGATAAGTATTTATTTAATATAAGCATTTATTATGTAGAATGGATATATAATCCAAGTGGAGTGTACGTACAAGTATAAAGCTGTGCCCACCCGCATTTTAGTTATATTCTTAATATCTTAATTTCAATACTACTTGCTACTCATATTGGTAACTGACTTTTTTATGAAACATTGTCAAGACTAACAAAATTAATAACCCCTTCAAAGTTTATCAAATATGCATTTTGGATTTACACTTGGTTATTAATATTATATATGGAAATTAAAGTTTAGTAGAATATTGATCTAATCAATAAATTTGACGATTTAATTTGTAAATACTCATATGATTACTTAATTTAAACTATTACGCATAATAAAAGTTGTTTTAATGACTGTTGGGATGAATATTTATAACTCTTGGTTATAAAATTAAAATTACTTAAGCATTGATAATAAAATAATTTATCCAACTAAGGATATACTATTTAGAGTTGTACATATCATTTTTTAAACATTTTTATTGAATGTGTTAAATCCTGTATAATAATTTGATTTTAAAATATACTATTTAAAATAAACACAGATTTTATGTTTTTTTGTAATTTAAATGATTTTTATGTGAAATAAATATATTATTAATAATCATATATTAGGTGAAAAGAAAATGAATAAATTATTATCTGTCTATCTGCGCAACATACTTTTATTTTTATAAAGTTAAAATTACTATTTTTCATTTCTTTTAATAAATTTTAACATCATAGATGTCATTAACAATACACATCTAATATAATCCAAAATTTATTAAATTTTTTTTCAATTTAATTTGTACCTTGTATTCAATTTTTGATAAAAAACTATAATATCAGAGTTGAATCAGTTAAATTCTCTATTATCATATTATTATACTATTATAAATCGACACAAAACTCCTATTAGTATACTTTTTATTGAAAATTTTCCTTAATTTATTTCGACTGAAACTTGAAAAAAAAATGTGTCTCTTCAAAGTTTTGGGATACGTTGTTAATTTGCTAGGCTATGTAGATTTCTTGTTCTTTTTACTATAACTTTTAAAATTTATTAAATAAATAATTTTTAAATTTCTTTAAAATATTATTTTTTCCGTAGATTTCATGAAACTTATTTAGTTAGGTCATTTGTCATTAAGCTCCGAAATTTATTTATGAAAAAAATATGTATGATAGTAAAATTTCGTTGAATCATGAGATTGCGTTTATAAACAACAGTCTCTATTATAAAATACATTGTTCCTTGTAAAATAATTTAGTTTTGTTATTTTATAGTAGGCTATGAGAGATATTAGAAAAATATAATTGCAGTCGCACAAGCATTGAAATTCTAAACGTTTTATATATGTTAAGCAACAGACATTTGTTAGAACTTATAAATGTTATATAATTATTAATTTTTTTTAAAATTTATTCCTTTATTCCTTTAACTAGATTTTATGTATTTTTTATATTATTTAGAACATTTAGAGATAAACCCATGTCTTTAGTTTTATGTGGACGTTTCATCTTCGAGACATTAGTTACATTTCTGAGGATGAACATGCAACAAATTTAAAACGTCAACATAAAACAGAAGACCTGGATATATCAATAACAAAATATTAATATGCTTAATAATTCACAAGCTTTGAAATACAAAAAAACTGTAAATATTTATCATAAAAGATAATGACAAATTACGCTATTGGATGCTGCAGTTCAAACTGTTACATAATACTATTAATGCTCTTTTAGCTATTTTAAGAAGTCCTCAGAAATTTATTTTAAATATAATTCTTTAGTATCTGATTTAATTATAAAATTTGTAAATGGCTTTTGTTCATTATATGGTCATAATTTTATTAGTTATAATGTTCATTTCTTAATTCATGTGCTTATGTTTGTATCATTGCATGGTCCCCTTGACAATTTTACTTCTTTTAGTATGAAAATTATTTACAATACTTAAAAAAATCTCTTAAACCTGAAAATACGTTTATTAATAACAATAAATTTATATTCGAATACAAGAAAAGTAACAATTATTAAACATTCAATTACGTTTATCTTGAGATTTTCCTATTTTATGTAATAAAATTAATGATCAGTCTTCTTTCCCCTTTTTATATATCTCCGATAAATTATTTAGAAAATGCATTACAATATGTTGAAAAAGAAAAATATAACTATCTTCTATGTCACGATAATTTATTTATTACTATACAATATACTACAAAATCTACTGACAAACAACTTAAGTTTATAGTAAAAAAATTCTAAATTTTGTAGAATTTCGTAATATCATCATTTACAGTTGAAATTTACTTAGTTAATACTGATAAATTGAGTAATAATTTGCATTATAACCAATTAATTGATTCTAAATTAAAATGTTTTTTATGGGAGTATCAAATTGTAATGCAATTTTATCTTCATTGTGTCATCAAATATTGTAACTTTTTACTTCCATAAAATTAAGAATTATATTAGTATTTGCATATTTCATTTTTTGTTTTGTTTTCATACATTTATAAATAAAAATTAAAAAGTAAATAAAATATTACTTTTTTTAATGAATGTGATATTTTATTATTTTTGCATGTATTCTTTTATGAAATAAATAACGTTCTACTTGCACTTCTACTTTACACAGTTGGAATTTATATATTACTAATGCCATTTTTTTTTTGAAGTCTATGACATAAAACATAAATTTTTTCTTTCATTTATTTGTTTACTAATACTTACATTTTAAATATTTTAATATAGGTACTCATTTAAATATTTAAAATTGTAAAATTTGTATAATTTTAAGTTTAAATTTTTATTATATACCAATAAAATTTATTTTTAATAAGGTTTTTCGCAATATAATTTATAATATTTCAAAGAGAAAAAAAAATGTATATTAAAACAATTGTTTTAATAAGATGACAGTATTTTTACAGATTCTACGTTAATCACAAATAAAAATAAATAGTTGTTATTAAATATTTTTTTTTAGGTTTAAAAATATCTTTAGAACAACTGGTATGCCACAGAGAAGTTCATCATCTACTATCATAAAATTTCTTTTAGAATACTTCTGGATTTCGATTGAAATAAAATACTACACAATTAATTCATATATATTCAAGAGGTTATTATAATTTCATTTTTTAATAAATAAAATCGTCATGCATTTGAAGTGCAATATTATAATTTTGGCATTTTTTATGTTTACTGAAATTTCGGTTAGTAATTTACTTATTTTAGTGCTTAAATTTTATATTATATTCATAAATTTTTTTAGAGTCTAGGTGTTAGCTGGTCTCAAGTCAATGAACTTCATGATATATTCAAGAATCATAGTAGTAATATGATTAATTTACTTGAAAATTTTATAAGTGAAAATATTAAATATGGTGTTATATTTGAATTGGATTTAAGCAGTAATAAGTTAAACTAAAATTATTTGCCTACAAACGTTTAATAGTTATTATATTAGAGGATATTATTTTACAGAAAATTTAGGGCAACAAGCTGAAGATATTTTAAAATGTTTATCATATAATTCTGTTATAAGAGTTGAAGACGAAACAGTAAGTTTATTTTCTAAAATTTTCTAAATTATTTTCACTGAAATATTTACAAATAATTCATGTAATTAATAAAAAAATAGGTTCCCAGATTATCAAATGAAATAGTAGATAAGTACATTGAAATATTTAAAGGCTGTGAAACAAATAAAAAAGGTTATTTTAAGAAGACTGTACTGAATTTCATTAAAAATCTAAACAAAAATATTTTAGTGGACGAATTAAACGTATCTTTTAATTCAAGCAAAAAATACGTATTCTATAGACAAATAAAACTAATGCTTGGGCCTAAAATGTCTGATGCTCGAGAGGTATTTCATTTAAATTTAGTCGAGTCATAATGTAAACATTAATACTTATATCGATGATTATGTGTTTTAGCCGAGATCAATTAACATTTTAGATGTCATGATTGCACTGTTTCATACATTTAGTATTATTCAAAATGATTCAGTCTTTGCAATGAACCTCTATTAAAAACGTATTGATTAATTTTAATGTTACTCATTTAATAAAACATTATGCCTACTTTACGTGTTTTATTGTTCAGTAAGAAAGCGGCCTTTTATTGTTATAATTATTTGTAAAAATTGACATTTTATCTGACTTTTTGAACACATTGTATAAAAATTATTCACATTTTAAATGTTCAAAAGTCATGAAGTTAGAACATTGTGGAATACTCTGTATATTTATGTATTTTTTTCTTGGCGATAAACAGTATAGTTCGCTCATCATCCTTTAACGGTCAATGTGGAGACGGTTGACTGAAGACACGTAGTTTAAATGTAATATTGTTATCTTCGCATACAAACACGACTTGTGGTTACAAGGTGTTATAATTTTTGTGAAACCATCTCGTGGCTATGTAATTTATCCGTACGTGGTTTCAATCAACCGTGACTAGACGTGTGTCACACTAGCTCCGCAAGATGTACACTATGTAAACGATATAGTCTACAATAAGTGCGATAAAGAGTAGTTATACACACTATAATTTATATAACCACAATATTAACAGGGCTTTCTCATAATTTATACTTAACAAATCAATTATTAAAATACATTATTTTATAGAAGTTTTTAAAATCAAAGCAACAATTAGAAATGGTTTGCATTTTACAATATATGATAGAAATACAACATTAAATACACGTGTTTAACCGTATTTGAGGAATAATTGTTTTAAATAATTTCTCTTTATTTGTTTTTCTGGTTTAATGTCAAGAAAATTTTGTTGGGAAAAATATACTAAAACATGAGCGTTAATATTTCATAATTTTTTTTATCGATTTTGACAAGATTAATTTGGCTCTTACTTCTACAATAAATTTAAAGTTAAATTGATAAATGCTAGAAATGAAAATATCAATAAACAAATTACGTTTAAAAAAATTGTTTTTATATTCCATAGTTTATTTTCAAGTAGTTTTATAATTATGTCTAATGATACAGTTATTAATAAAAAAAATATTCTACACTTAAATTTAAAAAAAACCAGCTAATATCTATGATATGATTATAAAAAAAAAAAATAGTTGTCTTAAATTTTAGTACGAAAAAATATTTAGTGCAACTATTTAATGAAAAGGTATTCTCATGTTTGAGTCATAATTAAAACTTCTTAAAACTTGTATCATGTTAAGACAATAATAAAATGTAAAATAATGTATAAGGTTATTTTGAAGTTTTTGTAGTATCGGAGGAATTTTATTACAAAAAAAAATATTGTAAAACAAGTATTAGATGAGAATTGAGATCATCATTAAAGCATTAACAGCAAGAAAGTCATATTTAATTTACAACATATTAAACTTAAAATAAAATTCAAGATTCATTAAAACATTTATTTACAAACAAAAATCTATGACATTAACGAGAAGTACAGAAAACAATATGTTATATATAAAAATTCTCGTATGGAAATATCAATGATACAATAGTAACTGGGCCAAATCTGAGGGAGTACTGGGAGCACGAGCTTTGGGTGACACAATGCCAGATAATAATCGAGCATTATAAATTATAATATAGCTGGAGAAATTTTTTTTTTGCTCATTTAAAAAAATATAAATAGTTTCACAGAAACAAATTGTTTGACGAGCAAAATAAAATTGTCATTGGGGGTGGTAGAATTGAGTATCCCCAGGTGGCATAATTCCTGAATACGGAGCAGTAAACAATAAAAATTGATATATTTGTGTATAAGTATTTAGTTAAATTATAGTTTTTACACAATTAATTTTAAACAAGATTTTATATAGACTAAAATATAATATAAATATATAAATACTTCTAAACTTAACATGTAAAGTTCAATAATTATGTAAAAAAATATAAAATTCAAATTATGAAATCCATTTTGTTGAATTTTAGTAATTATACATAAATTGTTACAAAGCTCAACAATTATAACACTATCATACATCTATTGATTACCATGGTCGCCACATCGGATCTTGTTGCATAGCTTGCTGTATGTCATGAGGAGCAAATGGTCGAGTGGGTTTTGGTCTGATCACCATATGACTACGGTTTGAAGATGTTAAGGCGACTGGCTTAGGTGACAAAGTATCCGAAAGTGGAGATAGATTGGCCATTCTAGAGAGAGGTTGTAGAAGAGGTGGTGGTGTTAAACCCGGTGAAGTGTCTCGTCTAATGGGTCTTTCAGTAGTATTATTTATTGTGGTTGAAGATGGGGGAGCAATAGCGGGAAGCCCCGTGACAGGAGATTTTTCAACTAACGTCGGGGGTATCTGAGATTCCAATGCTCTGGAAACGGATTTAGCCAAATATTCGACTAATCTACGACCAACTACTGAGTCTAATCCGGGAAGCGACAGCAAAAAACTACATGCTTCACTTGCACAATGACTGAATCCTTCCTGCAAAAATAATTTCTTATAATTAATTATATGGTTTTGTTTTCATTAAATTGGTTTTTTTTTTTTTTTTTTGCATAACTGGCATAATTTATAGTTTGAGTAATAAAAACATTTCCTTAAGCAAAAACTTATTGCGGAATGTGGCAAGAATAATTAACTTCATTTTTATGTTTTAAAAGAAATTTTATAGCGATTGATGAACATCAAAAATGGGCATTACAATGTGATTTAAAACGCATTACATAAAAATTTATGACTAAAGATATTAAATAATGCAAAATGTTAAAATATTACAATTAAAAAAAAAATTTTACAGCAATTTCAAATGACCAACTACAAAAATAGCCTAAATACCTTCATATACGAGGATGTTATACTAAATAATGATTATTAACCTGAAATTTGTATGCTTCTTCGATAGGATCTCTTTTAGTTATCTTTTGTAAGTGTTTAACGGTAAATTCCAAAATATCTGCTTTTTCTAGTTTATCAACATTTTCGCCTTCAGCCTGAATAGTAATTAATAAATAAGCAAATGTAATTTTTATAGTTTAAGTAAAACTTTTATTAACCTCTAAAGCCGTAAACATCAAGTCTTTTAATTCATCTAAGCATCTGTTGATTCGTGCACGACGTTTTCGCTCCAGTAATGGTTTAGTTACCTGATAAAAAATAAAACATTAATTAAAATAAAAAAATAATTGCAATAAGATTATTTTATTTTGTATTTAAATATTAAATGCACTTGGAATTAATTAACTGTTTCACAAATACAATTTTAATTTAACAGATCAAAAACAAAAAATCATAATGTATGTTTCTATATTCTGCATTATTTAATTTTAGCTTCGATGCGAAGTTAAGAAGGTATTCATTTTACTATGACGTGTTTTTTTTTTTATCTATTGCCACTTTTTATCAGCTTTTACCAAACCGATTTCTTTCAACGATACGTCTAAAGATCATAATCGTATCTAGTCGATGACATTACCTTCAAAAATTAAAAAAACTTCACTCGTTCCCCATAAATGGAGGAAATCTCCAAAAAAATTACAAATTTAATAATTACTAGTTTTTTAAGTATTTTTAATTTTTTATACTTAAAACTGCCATAACTTTTTTAAAAATAATCAAATCAATACAATTTTTTTATTTTTATAGATACAAGAGGTATTTTTACTTTCATTTTGTATATTTTTTTATAAATCTGACCCTTTATCTGCCCACAAAGAGGGATTTAAAATGACATTTTTTTTACAAAAAATTAACTTTTTCAATTTAGATTTTCTAACTTAACTTTTTTATTTATATTCTTCTTTTATGCCATATACTATTTTTTTTAATCAGACTATTACCCTTTATACAGGGGTGTTTCAAAACTTCATATAGAAAAATTAACTTTTAAAAGTGTTCCGGAAATACTGACACTTTTATATATATCTTAAATTAAAGCTTATGTAATATAATTTATTATGGTAAAAGAAAATTTTCGGAATTTAGTTTGTTTTTATGGTAAAAACTAACATCAAAGTTAATAAAAAAAATAAGATGATTGTAAAAAAATTCTTTTTTATATTTTTAATTTTATAATGCTATAACTTTTTGAAAAATATATGGATCGATACAATTTTTTTTATAATAAATACTATTTCTTTACCTATTTCATTCGATTTACTTTTTTTTAAATCGGACCATTTCCCTTTATATATTAATATATTATAAATATATATAAATTCATACATTACATTTATAAATCATAAAACTTGTAATCAGGATATAAATGAGGAAATAGTAGATCATGTAATTTTTGTAATAATCCACCAATTTTTTAAAATTCAATATTATCTAAAGATTTGCATCGAATCATTTTTTATGATAGTGATTTTAATTACTGTTAGATATCACTATACTTAACCCAACTATGCTACTTCCCCACTGTGCTGGGTTTTTTTATTTTAACCAATGTGGATTATCTTAGATAAACTTAATTTCATTTTATTTATTTTTCATTTGTAAAATTGTTTGACATGTTTATTGAATACTAATCGAATAATTTATAATTTGAATATAAATGTATATAGAAGTTTAAATATGAACAACTTATGTTAAAATGGCTAACTGTTTAATGAATAGATATTTTTGGGTACCCACAAGTATTAAAAAAATGGTTTTAACTTTGTATTATTGAATAATATACACTTAATTTTGAAATTAATGAATAAACTATTCAGACGCTGTTTAAACCTTTTAGACATTTTGAAAAGAATAATGTATTAAATGACTAATTTCTTGTACAATTAGTTTAATTAATGCAGCAAGTATAGTTTAATTGAATATTGCTTTATATATATTTTAACAGGTTTTTTTAAAAAAAACCTACCTATACTATATTAAAATTGTCTTTTTTTCATTAAAAATATTAATTTTACACGAAAGTTAACAATCTGGATAAATTATATTTCAATTACCATAAAAATATACCTTAATTTTTTATAATTCTTAAATAAAGTCTGTGATTTTCTCTACATTTTATCAATCTCATAACAAAATAAAAATATTTGTAAATGTTTAAACAAAAAATTAGTATTAATGACCCCGATTATAATGACTTGCCTTAATAAAAATAAACATTTAAATTAATTTTTAGAATTAGGAGTTTATAAGATAAACTATTTGTCTCACCTTTCTATACTGAACAGTCCTTGATATTGGCGATGGCGTTGAAGAAAACATTGTATCGATTCACTCAGATAAATTAATATAAGTATGAAACAATTATCCAAAAAATGTTATATATTTCCACGTGAGACCGAGACTATAGTTTAAATGAAATATTGTAAACGTACACCGAGTTCGGTTGTTGACGGTAACGGACTGCCGGAGAGAGTGACTATACAACGGTGCTTGTTGCATTGCTTGTTCCCTCCACCAACACCCAGTGACCATGAGGCCTTATGTGTCGATGCATCCCCCGAAAATTATGTGAAGGAAGGCGCCTTCTGCGAGTCCACCCTTTGCTCGAGAACTCTGTTCCCACGGGTGTCTCCCTCGATCGTAACGCGCGTGTCTGCAGTATGACGGAACGCGATTGCTCTCCTGTGTTTATAAATAATTTATACATGTATATTTTGAAAGTATGTAGTTATAAAATGGAATACTTGCTCGGGATCACTTTTCGATGGTAAAAAATGTTTTATTGTTGCGCGCACGTTTTGCGCAAAACCCATTTGCATTGTTGTTCTATTATCATTGATATTTTAGCGACAATTGTTTATGACTTAGAGCAGTTCTGGAAAAAAATACGGTACATTAAAAACTCAATAATTTTTCCACTCCAAAAAGATTTCAAGACCATCCGATTGCTACAGCCATTCACTGATGACGAACGACAATATCATAACATAATTTTTTATTTAAAATTGTAAACTCTGCTATAATTGCGGATACGTAAATAACACACTTCGTAACAACGATTATAATTTATGCGTCGTAACCTTGTTTGAAATCCAATTAAAATGTAATACGTTACAAATAAAACAGTAGTTATAATAGTTAGAGCTTAAATCATTCTTTAAATCTTACATATAATACGAATTGGTTGAAATCAACGTATTTATTTAATAACTTATAGCTGGTACAACAAAGTTGCAAGAAAAACTAAGAGGCAAAATTTAATCAGTCTCGTACATTTTCAAATTATAATAATATTTACTCTCCTGTGTATTACCAATAATAACCTACTAATCATCAGTTATTACGTGCCCTCTGATGAATATCATTTGATTCTCAACAAGTTTCCTGCAGGAAGTACCGTGAAACGCCTGATTACAATTTGAAATAGTATTATTTTTGAGACGCCATCCCAGGAAACATGGAGTAAAACACATATTTTTGATTAATCGTACATGGTATTTATGTTTTACATTTCATATTACACCAACAGTAAAACATCCTACTACGAAAATTCATTAAATACGATATTTTGAATTTTTTTAATACATTCTATACTTTAGCTTTACGGACTTGTAAATGTTTCTGAATATTGAATAAAATAAATATTTGAATATTTCTAAATATTTCAAAACAACAATACTTGTATTATTATAATTATTTTAATACTAATTTTCAGAAAATTTGACAGTGTATTAATATAAAATACATTCCTTCTAAAAACCTCTACCTTTATTCTCCTTTATACAAATTAAAAATTAAACCCGAGTACCGAATCTATCTATTTTTTTACAGTAGCTATCACCTTTGGCTAAACAAAAAACTTACTGCAGTATTGTTAGACCCGTGGGAGAAAAGTCGTTCCGGATAGCATTATGCGACTTTAAGAAATAAAAACCATACATTATATACACCTTCCTAAGAACACATTTAAGTAGACCGACTAGACTACAATTGGATCGGAGGACACGGTCAAATAGGCGCACATTATAGTCCGGTAGCGTACCGTTGTGTCATTCCGTGGGGTGTTGCTGCAGTCGCTATAAGACATGATAACACAGCAGCAGCCTTAAACACACCGCCGTCACAAATCGCTCATTCATTGTCATCCGGTCGCCTCAAATGGGAGTCGTGGCCGATTAGATACCAAGAGAATAAATAGGACTCGCGTGCGCACGGGCAAGTGAGCTCGCGCGACGATCAAGACGGTGGGAAAAATCAAAGATAATGTGCGACACGCACAAGATATATACATTATATTATTGTTATACAATATTATTGTACTTTTATTGTGTTGTTGTCGTGTCGGCGGCGACGGCGTCCGTTGTTATGCCCAGATATAAGATGTGGTGAATGAATAAGAACGATAGAGAGAGAGAGATAGAAGAACCGACGAATAAAAAATACACATCTCGAGACGGCAAAGTAGAAGAAATAAAGAAAAAATAAGAATCAAACACTTGTGATACGAAACGGACTTCTCAGGAAGCGTGGGAACGATTGCGGTGGTGGCCTAAAGTCTGTAGCAATAATATACACAGGCATACATTCATAGCGAGTCTGTGGGCCGTCTGTCGAGATTGCTATTGCCTTGCCGCTCTCGCACGCGTATGAAATAATTACTTGTGTATACATATTCGTTTACACATTATTACTATACGAAAAAACCTAAATTTACTTATAGTGAAAGAAGTGGAGAAGACACTGCGAGTTTCATCATTATATTAATGATTCAAAATTACTTTTAATCAAAACAGTCAAGTTAAACTGTCCATTATTAAATTTGACATCCGAAATTCCAATTTATTATTATACTTAATTTGGGATTCGAAATCAAATAATTTTACTAGACAATTAAACTAACAATAATAATAGCTCAATTTTAAATTTGATAAATAATTTAGTTAAAAATGAAACAAAAATTAGCATTTAATGTTATAAAATTATTACTTAAAATTTTATGAATTCTACAAACGAATTTTTTTTATTTTACTGCCCAAAATCGAAATTTTAATCTCAATCTTTTGAGATAAGACTTCAAGTTTTATCATTAGTTCAATTTTTACATAAAATTTCTAATTATAACATTGAAGTTATACTTTTCTATTTTATATAATTATTTATCGAATCACTGGCACATAATACACTAATAATCTATTACATTTCAAATTACAACAAATAATAATAAAACAGATCAATATAAAATAATAATATTTGTCATCTATAAGTCCAAATCAAGTCAATAGTTTTTTGGGGTATGTTTCCACAATATGGTTCATGGTCTGTTCCACATCTCCACAGTCACATGTTTCACTATTGGTGAGGATGTTGGTAGCCTACCCACCTGCATATGCTATTGTACACGCTTAAGTCCTAACAAACGGAAGCAGACACATTAGAATGAGGAATACCACCACATAGACGCGTATACCCAGCAAATAAAGCGCATATATATATTTTTTTTTCTATTTGCATGGTTGTTTAAATTTATAGACGTAATGACCAAATTTTTATTTTTTCCAAAATAAAAAAATAATTCAAATTTTTAGTTTAGTTGTTAAATCATTTTTCGCGAATACAATCTTGTAATGTATTTAAAGCACACTATTTAAATATATTAAATGTAAATACGATAATATTTCAATTTTTTTTTTTATTTTGAGCAAATTTAAAGTTTCTTAAAGAAAATTATGAGTATACTTTTTTTTGTACATATTTACACCGTAGTTTACAGTTTTCAAAAACTTAAAAATCTGCTTTATAATTATAAGAAATAGATGAAAGTTAACAATAAGTATAAGGTCTGAATCAGGTGCATATTTATGGATGATCCATGAGGTCTAGACTCCCTGATTTTTTAAAATTATACTATATTTATGAAGATAAAAACACCACTAGAGTTCTTCAAGGATCACGGGAATGACAAGTCAGTCAGTAGTAATAGAAACACATGCCATTAATCATATGACATTTTTTTGGGACTAGTGGGTATGGAAAAACTTTCTTTTGTTTTCTTGTAAACAGTAAAAAGTTCTCCATACTAAGTGAGAGAGACTTGTAAACAGGGTAGTATAATGAAAAATAAGTTGACACTTTGGAATCTCTATGACACCGGACGTGTGGTAGAGTATTTAGTTTTCTATAATACCGACTTTACTATAGGACCTACTTCGGCATCTTGTGAGGAGATGATTGTGACAATTGAGACAATTGTGGGACACTTTCTGATGAATCATCAATTAGTTCAAGATAGATAAATCTTATTTCAATATTGAGTACAGGAGTTAACTGGAATATCTTATTAACTAAGCACATAAAACTTTGAAGAAAACTTGATTTTTATCATTAAAATACTTATAGGGTGTACAAAATGGACCATAATGTCTAAGTTCATAAACGGCGTCTATTTCCATATTTCTAATAACTAAAATTAAACTAAAAATGATGAGCCTATACTTAATACTATTAAGTATAGAGGAAATCATTTGCATTTGAAAGTCATTACTCCCGAATTGAAATCTTAGCTTCATGCCTAGACAAAATTAAGGCCATATTATAGTAAATAAAATTTAAAAAATTCTATGAAAAAGTACAATAAATACTATTTTGTGCTTTCTATAGTTATTTTTTCTTTAAGAGACCAGTTCGTGCACTAAATATGATAATATTTTATTATTAAATATGTAAACGCGTATGGTAGAACACATTTAAATAAAACAATGCAAATAGCTACTAAATTTTGAGTGCTAATTCTTTTTAATGAAATGTTAATAGCGGAATTTACAAATAAGAAGATATGAAAATATTTAGTTACTTTAATGATTGAGTAATTTATAATTATAAATATGAATATTTTTCGATGGCATTCATTTTAATAATAACCAATTGAATTTATTTGTCACATTAATTGATAAATTATTATGTTAGGATTTGTATTGATTAAATTTTAAAACTAGAATTTTTACTCGCATTTTATTTTATAAACTTGAAAAATAAAAAATAATTAGTAACTGTAATTATATTTTGTTGATAGTTAAATAATTTATTATTATTGCATTAATCGTAATAATTTAAAAAGTATTTCATTCGAAAAATAATAAGTCATCAGTAGATTGTAACATTTATTTTATTGTAAAATTGAATACTCATAATATTATACATTTGCTAATTTTTAAATAATTAATAAAATACTTTTTCATCTTAATTATTGTCAAACCAATCAAAACATTTTTTTTTTTTTGATTATTATTTATCAATAAAATTTAAAATTTCATATTTTCATTGAAATTATCTCAAATTTCTAAATCTAGATACAACTTTAGAGAAAATTATAAAAACTTTATTTAATATATTTGGTTAATTTATCATAAGTAATAAATCATAAAAAAAATGAGGACACATAAATCTTTTAAATTAACCACTTGGGTCAATAAATTGTACTTTATATGTTGTATTTTTTACGAAAAAAATAATTATTTATCAGACAGTATATTTACTTTTGAATAATTGTATTTTTCTTTTATGAAAACGAACGAAATTATTAAGGATAATATCATAAAATATAAATATATTAATACAATTAATTGTAATACAAAAAATAATTTACGTTGTGAGTATTAATTAAGATTATATGTATTCATATGATTTAGTTTTTAGATTTTTTTAATTAAATATTTTTTTGTATTATATAATGCGTTTTATAGAAGTTTCTGGTAAATATTTTAGCTTTAATGCGGAAATCCATTAAAAATGTTAATTTTACTATTATTTATTTATGCTAACAACATGTAAGTTGACTCGTATACTAAGTTATTTTCTCTAACCGTGTGTTTGGTGATTATTTTCGAAAATATTTATTTTAAAGAACTTTAAAAAAAAAAAGATAATTATCATTCTAATTTATATCATGATGCTTAATATTAATTATTTAGAACATTTTTGGATCCTTAATATTTTAATTTTATGTATATTTTTTAAGGGACTACATATTCTAGATTTAATTTTTGCTGTCCCAGGGGTAACAATTTATTGAATTAAATAGCTCATATAACTTGATTAAATTATCTGACTACCTGTATACTACGGTCAAAATAGAAAACTATTAGTTTTTAATATTTACAAAAAATAATTAATAGACTAAAAATAATTATATACTAGAGTATAAACATAAATTAAATATCGTTAAAATAAATACGAACTAATATTTTATATTTCAAATAATATTTCATTTATATAGATAAACTTAATCAGATCCTATTTATAAATTATCGAGAAAATTATTTCTAGATTATAGGTGATACATGAATATATTGTAGCATCAGATAATTTTTTTAAAAACAAAATTTACGAAAAAGAACATCTGCCTTTAGATAAACATCTTAAATAAAAATTTTCATTTATCATTTAGATAAAATTAATTTTTTGTAATAGTTATAACAAATATTCGATCAATTTACACAAACTTCCAATTGAAAATTTCATTTTATTTGTATTTCTCATTTAAATTCTAAGGTTTAAAAACACAAGCGTCAATTTTTATTTATTTTTTTTTTTTTAGACAAAAACTTTTCAATCAAAATAGTGTCTAGGAAATGTGCATCATGGAATTTAAATTATATGCTTTTGTTATGTTAACTGTATATATTCAAAATTCGTGGACAATTGTTAATGAACCTTCTTATTGGAACTATATAAAAAATGAAATATACACAGACAATAATAAATCAATAACTTTAGAAGAAGCCTGTCATGCCGATGACTCTAGTGCTGCTTTAAAAATTTATTTTACAACGCAGAAAAGAGTGTTTAAGAATTTGTTTGTATTAATATTTTACTGTACATTAGTTGCTTTTAAAGATGAAAAAAATTCCCAAAACAAAGTATTTGACATGATAAAAACATCGTTTAATCAAATTCATTCATTTATGATAAAAAAACGCATTGGTACTGTTGAATTAGAAGATTTGGAATCAATTATTACAGGTATTGATAAAAAAATAACTAAAAGTAAACGAAATATTTTGGAGATTTTTATAAGTATAGTTCAAGTTGTTAAAAATGAACTTGGCGAAAAAACCAAGATTTCCTATGAGTCAAGAAAAGAAATAAATTCGTATGAAGAAATCATTAGACAAAAATACAATTGGAATTTGTACAGATCAGTAATACCCGAAAGCGTAAAAACTTCTTGTTACCTCAATAAAAATGTATCGTATAATGAACTACTTAACGTAGCGGATAACATTTATAATAGTATAAAAAAAGAATACAATTTAATTCATCACCCGTCTTCCAACCCTTAATATTCCTCCATCTGACCTTATTTCATCCCTTAAGAAGACGATATTTCAAGAATGGCAAAAATATCGGTCTTCTCCTTTCACTCTCATCGCAGCTTGACACAAATCAATTTCACCAACTATTCCTAATCACACTTTCTTCCATAAACTTCCACTCTCACGGTTTCATATATTATCCTTTTCTCGGCTAAGACTTGGTCATAATCGCCTTCCTTTTCACGCGTACAAAATGTCCCTTAACAATCCTCCCAATTCTTTCCCAAACATGATGATGAAGTTCTCTGCGATTTTTTATTAATATAATTTTTGACTGCTGTGCTTTTGAAAGAAATCGTTCTATTTTATTTAATTATTTGTCTCATCATAATATCTCTCATATTAATTGTTACACTATTCTTAACTCAACTTCTCTCGATGTAATTTCTTTAGTTATTTCTTTCATTCATTCAGCTGGTTTTTTAATTTAACTATTTTTACTGTAATTTTATTGTAATTTCGTTGATATAAGATCAATTGTACTTTTTTTTTCTCTTTTTAATTAATTGTTAAGCTATAGTAATACTTTGTATTGAAAGCTAATAAAAAAAAAGAATATAACCTTTGATAATTAAAACTATATTTTTGAAGGCAATAAATTTCAGATTTTGGCCTTTTATTTACTATTGTAAAGTTCATAAAATAAAAAATATGCATGTCATTTATTTTTATATTATCGTAGCAATATAACTATTTTATAATCATAATTTTCTTAAGTATATATAATTTAATCATTTAATACTAAAATGTATGTTATAATAAAAATCCTCATATCTACTTTATAAATGAATAAAAATTGAATTTCATAAAATGCAATATTATTATTAATTATTTTCGGTATTTTTACTGATTAATAAAAGAATAAATATTTAATTATAATAGCAGCTTTATTAGATAGATTGACATAATCAGACACGTATTAAGGGATCCATAGGGTTTGCCCATTACCCGAAATTTTCATAATTACATTATACTTTTCAGACTTAACTCGATAAATATAGTTGGGTTAACACACAAGTCTGAACATAAAAAAGTAATTTCATTTTTGAAAATTAAGCAATTGTTAAACAAAATATTATCGTGGTAATCGGTGCAACTAGAATCAAAAAATATTATGGTGTTTAAATTTATTTTTCTCCATACCCAAATATAAATTACATGATTTCCAAAAACTGTAAAATACAATTATTATTAAATATCATTATAATACGTTTAGTAAAGCTAATAACAAAAAATTTCTATAAAAACTAAAAATTAATTTTTAATAATTATAAAATTATTTAGCTCAATAAATTTTAACAATCAATACTTGGAGATTTATGTTTTTAGTAACTTGGTAATAGGTTATAATTATAATTAAATATCATATATAATAAAACATTGAAAGTGGTCGACTTGTCTTAGTGAGTAGAAACGAATGTTTCGGCGCATGAGGTTCCATTTATTTCAAGCCAATGGGGATAGTTTTTTAGACACTATTTTATGTGTGAACAGCACAATTATTGTGATACACACACATATTTACATAAATAGTCAATACATAAATGTTAAGTGCATACTTTTTAAAATATTACTATCGACCCTTTTTAAATTTTACTCATTTTAATAATTAAATGTTGACTATATTTTTGTTATGACGATGTGAAGTAATACTTATTGTGTAAAAAACTTATCCTTAATTAAATCTTAACCGACCTTATCCTACAGGAATCTGTGATCTACCCGTAAGAACGGGTTGTAGGGCCTCGGGTATAGGCTGCAGCCACCCCAGTTAGACGAAGCTTAGTAATTTCTATAATACAGTTAATTTACATGTAAAATAAGTTTAATGAGGATAATGATTTTATTTAGAGATATGTGAAACTTATAGTAATAGTAATAAATTAGAAACGTGTAAAATTTCAATAAATATTCCTTTTCACGCGACTTAAAAGTTTTTGTTCTGCTACAATATTGACACCGAAATATATTCAACTTCGAAGTTGTGCCAATTTTGTGAATTTCATTATGAAATATAAACGAATGCGACTCATCTGTTGATAATGTGACTCGGCAGTACCCACTAGATAATAAACTCGAGTTATATAATGGGCAATGGTTCAAAGGTGAAATTAGGTTAATCGACGACAATAGAAAACTGACGAATTCGCTGTGCCATGTAGCTGATGTGTCACGTGTATCGATTCTGCCTGTTGTCGGGTACTTGAGCTACCAAACCGCGTAAACAACGGACCGACGGAATATTGAATGGCGCACGCCAGTGAATGTGTGTGGGAATTTCGGGCATTTTCCGGCACGGGCGGCGTGCGCGCCTGCCTTCTGTCGGACGCTGCGCCACGATCGTTGACCCTCTTTTGGCTTGGAGGGCGCGAGGCAGTAGGGGACACGTCGGAATTTAACGACGTCCGTGGGAACGTGCGGCGGTCGTTTCCCGTGTAAAACAATTAGTCGGCGCACGCAGAGAAACAAAACAACAATAATATTATTATCGTCATTATGTATATACTTTATACAGTCTCTACGACCAGTGGCATTTGTCGAGGGCAACGTGCGATTCCGGCAATTGACCGATACGCGCGAGCCGCCAACGTCTGGTCACTGGCAGGTGGAATACATTTTGTACGATATTTTCTGATAAATGATAACCGAGAAAGCAACGGAAAGAGTGGGTTGACACATTTTCTTAGATCATACACGATAACATATCATACTATGATTTTGTCACAAAAACGGTCATTTACAAACAGCGGTACCGAAAGTATAAAGACCACTTGACATAGCCTTGAAACTTTATTGACGATTTAATAGATACCGTAGTGTAAATTAAAAAATTATTAAAAGAGTACGAGTAAAAATCTAACACCAAGACTAGAATTGTATTAATATAAAGTATTATATAGCACAGATTATTATTACAGTTATATTGTACTATTGTGTTTTAGTATATGGTATTATATGTAATACGATCAATTGGTGGGCACAGAGAAATTCTGAACTGCTAAGTCTTTCATGTCTAATGTATTATAAAGCAAAAATGTGATGCATATTTCCAAAATCAAAAAAAAAAAAAATGGAATATGTTTAGCTGTAGCAAGATAACTTATTGCTGAATCATCACAAAAGTAATATTAAATCATATCTAATGTTAGTTTTAATTTATTGCTAATCGATGTCTCTATACATTTGATAATTGGCAGATATACGGTTTACACAGTAAATTTAATTGTGACTTTTTTTAGACGGTCAATAATATTGTATTTATATTTTAAAACAGATGGCCATACTATAAAATTCTGTTAATTTGCAGTACAACGTCATGTTCTTTTCTTATGAATCAATATTAAAATAAATTTAAACACAATAAACTAATAAATATTATACATTTTCTTTTAATATTTGATTACCATTCTGTTATAAATTATATGAAATGTTATTTTTGAATTTTATAACGTTTCAATGTAATTTTTGTTTAATCTCTTTATATATTTTTGAACATTCTACGTCAAATAAATCTTTAGAATAAAATAAAAATACATAATTTAAAGATACTTTATTAATTTTCAGTTCATATATGAACTATTTTACTATACTTTAAAAATAGCTTAGCTCTTCGCAATAGATTAATAAATTATAAAAACCATTTAAAATCATTTTACAGGTTAAATTAATTTGTTATAATGCTTTAAAATAAAAAAAAACTGTAATAAATTACTCCTTTGACTCATAATGTTAATTTTAAAAATAAAGATGAAAAATATAATTTTTAATCATTATTAATATCTTATTCTAAACTCACTTTATGTAAAAATAAAACACATTCAATACATATATTTTTATTTATCAAGAGTTGGAATCAAATCATTGAACGCCAATCAAGTGCACCATTATTATAATAATATTATCAGAGCGCTTACTACTTAAAACCACTAAAACTTTTTCAAAAATTTACTACTTGTTTAATATTGTAAGTAATAGAATTGTACCAATAAATATTAAAAAAAGTATTTGTAAAATTTCTGTTACAAAATTAAATATTTAATGATGATTTTTTTGAGTGTTACAATTCATTTTAAGATTATCACATGTATATGATTTATTAACGAAAATTAATAAAATAAAAAAAAGGTACCTCATATTAACATAAAAATTTAAAAAGGTTAAAAATGACTAAAAATAGGTTACTACCTAAATAAAGTCCATCATTATCATAAATATAAAAAAAAAAAAATAATAACTTGAATATGAAATATTTATAAATTATTACAAATATATGCATATTGTTTTACTTCTCCATCAAAAAAAAAAAAAAAACAATTATTTTGAACGATTTCCTTGGTAGAATAACAAGTATTTATAATAAATTGTAAAAAAAATTATTAATATTTTTAAATATCATTATTTTATATAAATAAAAATGGAGTATTATCTATATATATTGTTATCATTTATTATTTAATTAGATGATTGTATAATTAATTTCGATTTTATCACTTTACCAGTGTCAATGATTTATATTTAATTAAAATTCTATCACAGTTAATATGATAATTTAAATTTAAAATACTAAAAAAGCATCTGTGCAAATTATTAGTGGATAAGTTGTTTACTTTTGGGAAATTATTTAATGTCGAGACTCAATAATAAATTTTTAAGTTCTAACTGTCGATTTATTAATATTAGACATTACAGAGTACGTTTAACCGATACGACATGAGACCTTTATTTTGTATTATCAGTTTATTAACTATTTGCGATGAACTTTCGTTGGCATTACAGATATTTGATTTCAACTGGGATATTGTAAAACATGAAATTTATCCTACCAATGGAGGGGAACTCACGGTGGAACAACTTTGTGATAATGATGATAAATACAGAGCATTTTACTATTACATCGCAGTGTATGAAAGAATTATAAAACAAATGTTTTTGCTCTCCTATTATGGCACATTAATAGTTTTTAATGACCAAGGAAAAAATCACGAACAAAAAGTTTTTAAAATGATAAATAAAGCGTTTAAAAGAACTAATAAGTTTATAAACAACATTTTTAGCAGTCCATTCGATTTTGAAATTTTGAATTTTATTATTGAGGAAGTCTCCAAAGATGTAAATAAAGAAGGTATTCTAAAAATTTTTAATTGTATAGCACGAATTGTAAAATGTGAATTTAATGACCCAGAAGAGACTATTAATTCGTATACTCAATATTCGTTTGATGAAATTATAAAAAGAGAATATAAATGGAATTATTACAGATCAGCTATGCCTTCAAATGTTTTGATGTTTTATGAACCAGTTAAAGAGTTAGCACCAAGTATACTATTAAGTACTATGATAACAATATATGATAGAATAGTAATCGAATACGGTGAAGAATATTGGAAAACCCCATAAGAATATCATTAAAAATTCTTAATACATTTTATGTTTTTCGTTGCCATATTTTGCCTAAAATATCTACATTTTTTTTTTTGTTTTGTACGTAATACTTACAATATGATATAAATAATTAAAAGTACATTATAGAATATACTATTCTATTTTTAATACAAAATAAATAAAGAATATAGAGTCAAATGTATATGATTTATGTTAATTATTAAAATATTTTAGAAAATGTACATGTTAATGTAATAATAAAACTCAGCATAAAATTGTTTAG